AAGGCCATGGTGAGGGATGGTGGTGCGGGGAAGCCGCACCTGGCGCCCAACAATTAGATCGTCGGATCTTTTCTTCGATTACAGCACATTGGGAGCAGCCACGGATTATTTGTAGGCGACGCCGATGGACGGCATACGTCACAAAGTTTACTGGCTTCATTTTATTGTCCCATAAACTACATGTCTTTCCAAACAGGGTCATTCTTGGATTTGACTTTAGAATTTACTTTGTCTAAAATATCAAAGGCTTTTAATGTTTCAAGAATTTCACTATTTGAAATTGCAGCCCAGGAAGTCATCATTCTTAAATTCTAAAACAAGAAGAGAAAAATATTAATCATTTTACATTTACGGCACAAATCAATGGAGATTAACACTTGTTTTTAAATATATGTTAATGGCTTTGGTTGATCTAAAACTTTTGACGTGGACTACGTGGCAGACCAAGTAGTGATCCTGGCAAGTAGTGACGTAACAACTGTAAGCGCTTGTAAGCGTTGCTTATTCTGTTCCTTTTGGCGATGTGAGCCCTCACGAACGCCGTCATGACGTCATTGATGGTGTCATAACTCGTGTTCTTAAGCGCTTATAAACGCTTCTTTCGTCGAGGTAGTGCAGCGAAAGCGTGAGTGCTCACAAACGCTTAAACACCTAAAGGAACGTGAGGAGTGTTTGTTTGTCATTCGTCGCACAAGAAAACTCAAGCATTCATCCATGTTTTTCTCGTAACTATTGCTGTCATTTGCATCCAAGTCGTCGTCTTCATCTTCGTTGAACAGTATATTAAATAATATTAAACTTTGAACGACTACACTTTCCACATTCTCCATCTTTTTTTTTTAAATGCTCACGTGTATCGATATGAGTTTCTTTTGGACGACAACGTGATCGCTCGAAACCAAACGAAACGCTTGCAAGCAACGCTCAAAAGCGTGAGCGCTTACAACGCGTGAGCGTCCAAATGAAACGCAGCCTGAATTACATGCAGATGAACACGGGCACTACGACGATACTCTTACGAGGGGAGTACACCAACTGGGGGTCACGGATTCGGATGAAAGTTATCAGGAATGTAGTATAGCATCACGAGAGAAGGATGCTCAAGCCATACGACCCAACGTTGAGTTATAAGCCGAAAAAACCGATTTAAAATATGTGACGTATCATGTGTACTAGTTGTGTTACGTTGAAATTTCAAGTAGCGCCGCAGCGCAAGGATAGAGTGCCAGACTCCCACGCTGACGACACGCGTTGGATCCCTGCCCGTGGACTATTGAATTTTTTTTTATGGGCACATGTTATAATACAAAGCACCCTTCACTGCAATCAATTAATTCATAAAACTTTGTAAAAACGATAAAACCGATGGACGGCATACGTCACAAAGTTTACTGGCTTCATTTTATTGTCCCATAAACTACATGTCTTTCCAAACAGGGTCATTCTTGGATTTGACTTTAGAATTTACTTTGTCTAAAATATCAAAGGCTTTTAATGTTTCAAGAATTTCACTATTTGAAATTGCAGCCCAGGAAGTCATCATTCTTAAATTCTAAAACAAGAAGAGAAAAATATTAATCATTTTACATTTACGGCACAAATCAATGGAGATTAACACTTGTTTTTAAATATATGTTAATGGCTTTGGTTGATCTAAAACTTTTGACGTGGACTACGTGGCAGACCAAGTAGTGATCCTGGCAAGTAGTGACGTAACAACTGTAAGCGCTTGTAAGCGTTGCTTATTCTGTTCCTTTTGGCGATGTGAGCCCTCACGAACGCCGTCATGACGTCATTGATGGTGTCATAACTCGTGTTCTTAAGCGCTTATAAACGCTTCTTTCGTCGAGGTAGTGCAGCGAAAGCGTGAGTGCTCACAAACGCTTAAACACCTAAAGGAACGTGAGGAGTGTTTGTTTGTCATTCGTCGCACAAGAAAACTCAAGCATTCATCCATGTTTTTCTCGTAACTATTGCTGTCATTTGCATCCAAGTCGTCGTCTTCATCTTCGTTGAACAGTATATTAAATAATATTAAACTTTGAACGACTACACTTTCCACATTCTCCATCTTTTTTTTTTAAATGCTCACGTGTATCGATATGAGTTTCTTTTGGACGACAACGTGATCGCTCGAAACCAAACGAAACGCTTGCAAGCAACGCTCAAAAGCGTGAGCGCTTACAACGCGTGAGCGTCCAAATGAAACGCAGCCTGAATTACATGCAGATGAACACGGGCACTACGACGATACTCTTACGAGGGGAGTACACCAACTGGGGGTCACGGATTCGGATGAAAGTTATCAGGAATGTAGTATAGCATCACGAGAGAAGGATGCTCAAGCCATACGACCCAACGTTGAGTTATAAGCCGAAAAAACCGATTTAAAATATGTGACGTATCATGTGTACTAGTTGTGTTACGTTGAAATTTCAAGTAGCGCCGCAGCGCAAGGATAGAGTGCCAGACTCCCACGCTGACGACACGCGTTGGATCCCTGCCCGTGGACTATTGAATTTTTTTTTATGGGCACATGTTATAATACAAAGCACCCTTCACTGCAATCAATTAATTCATAAAACTTTGTAAAAACGATAAAAGATATTGAGCACTGATTTGACCGGCGTGAAGCGCTTCAACCTCATTAATACCTTGTATTTAAAAAGAAATCATAACGTCCAGAAGAAGAAAAAAAACTTCCAACGGAGAGTCTCGAACCACAGACCTCTAGTCTCCTAACCCAATGCCTTGCTTATCGACTAGCATCATGTACTTCGTATACTTTCTTCGCAACTTGTATTTCAGTAGTTAAGTCATTTGCTCTATCGCATAATTGACAGATAAACCACCCATACAGCACAGAAATATTTTGTCAACATTGCCAAAAGTTTCTCTTGAAATAATGCAATATTACCGGAAATATATTGAAAATTGTTTAAATATTTCTGGAATGTTGCAGAAACCTTGCAATGTCCGCTCAGCACGTTGCAATCATAATATTGCTATAATATTGCCGGTCAATATTTCGGAAATATCAATGCATAATATTAATAAAATATAACTCAAATAGATAACTGAGAATAAATTCCAATGCCAGCAATGTATCGTGGGTTTCTTTGGGCAGGTTGCCTATACCTTCTGAAATATTACCTCGGTTGTATTTTTAAATACTCTATACAAATCCAATAATTTCACATGTAATTTTTACATGCAGAATACAAAAGTATATATCGACGGCGAAGACGAAAATCGAATAATCGACGGATTAATTATTTACCTGGTCCTACGTTTTTTCATGCGAGTTACCTTGGCCACCTAGTGGCGCGGCAGCGAACTAGTGTTCGCTCGGATACTCCGAGTCTGGTTAGGGACTCTTGTCACAGATTTCAGCAATATATCAGAAAGTTTTATTTATTATATTGCCCTGAAATATTGTGCAATATTTGACATAAAGACATCAACAACATTGCTGTCGCAATGAAATATTGGAATATTGATGTAATGTTTTCGAAATATAGTGTGCTGTGTGGG